AACTTTGGATGATGTTGTCTGCTAGGTGGTATGTTGGTTTGAGTGTAGGTTTCAGAGTTAAAACAGGAAGCTAGAGAGACTTCTGTCTATTGGAAGCTCATATATTTTGTAAAAAACTAATCTTTTTGTTAAGAGGACTCGCTAGGACTAGGATTTTGTTAGTTGTCTTTCGTGACTATGTAAACGGATCATCGCCGGGAAAGGTTAAGCTACTAATTGTACTTTTAAAGTTCATTTATAATTGTACTTTGGTCTTAAACCGAGTTTATTTTTGTGAGGTTATTCATCAAGGAAAATATATTCCCCTCTGCAAAGAGGCTTTTTTAGGTTGACGAAAATATTTTTAAGCAGCTAGAGTTCAAGCAAAACTCTGAGGTTAATTGATTTACTAATTAGGGTTCAAGAAAAGTTTCCTCGCAAAATTGCGAGCGACTTACGAGTACTTTGCGAGGAACAATATACTCTGTCGCAAATCTCCCGCACATACCTCGCAAATCTTTACCCTAAACCCTAAAATACATAAAAGTGTTTTGCGATCTTTGATTTTTATTTATAAATATGAATCGAAGAGACCATATAATCAGACAAGTTGAATATATGGTGATGCATAAAAAAAATGTTGTATAGGTTTCAATATTAACATTTTATTTTAAAAATGTCATAAACATTGATTCATATTATATAAAAACATAAGATCATCATTGATGTATTTGAGGAAAATGCACATTCGGACGAATTCGAAGTATATGATAAGAAAGTAGATTCTAATGTAGATAATTAACTTCCTAATGATTCAAAAAAATGAATCCGAATGATTTTTAGTAGTGTTTTGTTGTTTTTTTTTCAAATTGATTCTATTTTGCGAGGGATTTGCGAGGGATACTAGTAATTCCCTCGCAAAACTAAACCCTAAATCAAGAGTTTTGCGAGGGAATTGCGAGGGACCATAGCAATTCCCTCGCAAAAGTGGAAACCACTTATAAATCCCTAAATCCTATACCCTAAACCATTTGCGAGGGATTTGCTATGATGCCTCGCAATTCTCTCGCAAATATTTTCAGTTTTTTCGCGGTTCAATTTTTTGGCGGAAATTTTAAAATTTTGGCAAATATTTCAAAACATTGCGAGGGATTTGCGAGGGATACTAGTAATTCTCTCGCAAAACTAAACCCTAAATCAAGAGTTTTGCGAGGGAATTGCGAGGGACCATAGCAATTCCCTCGCAAATATTTTCAGTTTTTCGCGCTTCAACGTTTTGGCTGAAATTTCAAAAATTTTACCGAAAATTTTCAAAACTTTTGCGAGGGATTTGCTAGGGAATTGCGACGGTATAAATATATATATAAGTGATTGCATGTTTGAGCTATGCTCAAACATCTCTCATTTCCTCTTACTTAAAAACTCTTCTCTCACTCATTCACATCTCATTTCCTCTTACTTAAAAAGTCTTCATTCCTATCATTCACATCTCTTCAAAGGTATGATTTTTAATTTCATTGTTAGATTTATGTATAGATTTGTATTATTATAGTTTTAGATTTAGGAGTTTGCTAGTTTTAAAATTAGAAAATTAGGATTTCTAGATTTAGATTATTGTGTAAGGTATTGGATTTGTTAGTTTTGGATTTAGAAATTTAGTTTTATATTAGGATTGGAATTTTAAATTATTTTAGGTTTCATTTAGAAATTGAATTGTTAATTTTTTGAATTTTTTTAGTATGGAATTTTAGATTATATATTAATAACTAATTTTCAAATTTAAATTGTTATTATTTTTAAAGATTATTAATTTTAGAAACCTTTTAAGAATTTTCTTAAATTTGACTTAAAACTTTCTTATTGTATTTTAAATATTATTATGCATTATAGAAAATAATGTTATGCATTTAAAATTTATCAATATATATCTATATATTGATAAAATTTAAATGCATTTTATTATTATTATTATTTTTTTTTTTAATTGTCCCTCGCAAATCCATCGCAAAATTTAATACGGATTTTTTTTTATTTTTTTTTTATTGTCCCTCGCAAATCCATCGCAATTTGCGCGTGTTTTGCGAGGGCATACATGCCTCGCAATTTGCGCGTGTTTTGCGAGGGCATATATTTCCTAGCAAATATTGCGAGGGAATTGCTACGTTTACCGATTTGCGAGACACGATTTGCGAGGAACTGGTGTTCCTCGCAAATCGCTCGCTAAAGTCGATTTGCGAGGGATTAGCTACATATTCGTCCCTAGCAAATCGGTTGTTTTCTTGTAGTGAGAGTTCAAGCAAAACTCTGAGGTTAATTGATTTACTAATTAGGGTTATGACTACCAAATGTATCTGGAACAGATTTGGGTTGTGGGTTATTACTACTTCTTTTCCTAAGCAACCATAAAACTTATGTTAACATATATTCTCTCTTTTACGACCTGGGAGTTTTTTGTTTTGTCGTACAGTTCGTTAAGGCTTTTGTTTCCGGACGAGTTCCGGCTTTGCCATCTTGTTTAGCTGTTCGGTTTGTCTGGATTATGTCATATCTACCAAAAAAATAAAGAAAAAAATTTGAATAGATATCTCAAAATGTTGAGATATCCATCTAAAAGTATCTTAAAATATATCAAATGAGATACTTTTGGATGTGTATCTCCACATTTTGAAATACTCATCAATTAAAAACTTTTGTTTTTACTTTTTTTTAGACACCCAAAATTTTAGAACCTCTCCAATGGAGGTGCTCTAAACCTCTCAATTGATATAAAGTTGTGGAGAAAAATATATGAAATAATGAAAAATATATATATATATATATTTTTTATGAAGAGCTACGATAAATAGACACAATCACAGAACGCATATTTAAATTTTTTAAAAATTTTCCATATTATTATTAGGAACCATTTCAAAAAATACTAGTTAAATAAAGAATTGTATATATTTCTTTGAATAAGAAATATGATTTTTTGTTTTTTTCTTTATTTTTGATAAGCCTACAAAAATCTTTTATAATGGACAAAAGTTGCAATGTTTATCAAATAAACTAAACTAGATCATGACCCGCACATACGTGCGGGGTTTCATATTTTAAAAAATTTCTAACAAATTTTTAATTCAGTATAGATTATTTTGTTGTTTTTAACTTTTTATGATATATATATTTTACTGTATTAGATCTGGATCCACATATGTGTAGAGATATTTTTATAGAAATTTTTATAGAGATTTTAAAAATATAAAATATTTGTTGTGTTAGTGAACTTCGTAATAGTATAAATATTATAAAGTTAGAGTAATGAACAAAATTCAGTTGCGTTAATGCATAATTATATTTTAAGATCCGGACTAATTTAGTTGCAAAAGTTAAGTGGTGTTACATTTTTATTTTCTTAACTAATCAAAATAGTTCTAACAGTTTGATTACATATGTTAAATAGGATATGAATTCGGTTTAGTTTGGGTTATTTCATGTATATTAGCTAGACGTAACTATTTTGGAACATGAAAATATCTCGTCCGGTATCTGTCATAAATTCTTTGTCCCATAATATGTCACGTATACGTAAAATAAAAATATTATGGTCCCATATCTGTCATAAATAGAGTATGTGTAACTGAAAACGTATGTACAAGGTTACGTGTGTAAACAAATTTATTTTATATAGTGCTCATAACCCGAACTCATGCCAGTTGGGTATTTAGTTTGATTTTTAATATATGTTCCCCTTCCATCTCGTCTCGTAATTTCTATTTCCATTTTATTCTATTAAAATCATATTCCAAATTCTTGTTTGCTTACTTTTAAATATCATACAATATTACAATATATATTGTGAGTTTTGCGGATTAATATGTATACTTTTAAAGTTATAAATATATTTAAACAAATTTATTAATGTTTCTAGCTAAATTTTGCATATTTTTCTTTTCATTGTTTAATCATAATTAATTCGATTTTTGGGACTAAAATTAAAATTTGAGATACATCTATAAAAGGGATATGCTATTGCTGCATAATTTGTTTTGAATGCAAAATATATAATTAGTTCACATTATTTCAAAAACTGTGTGCAATATATTATGGATTTGTTTAAAGAAGATCCGGTTGAGAAGAAAAAAAAACACAAAATATTTCGAAATTAATATGTACAATCTTTTGTTTAGATATTTCCTAAACTTTCTCTAAACGAAGGCCATAACGATAATTACTTATCATTATTTGAGTTTATTTCATAGTAAATATAAATATTTGTTAATATCTAATATCGTTTTTTTAGAAATTGTGAAATAAAATTTTGTTTTATATTTCAAAATTTGTGAAAATATTATAAAAAAACTGAGTCATAAATATTTGTATTTAATTTTTTTACGAAATTTCAAATTCAATATTAAAATCTTCCATTGAAAAACTTTTTAAACGATAGTGTTTTTTATTTTGAATTAAAATGGTATTATTTTTCTTTTTATTTTTGATATAGAATAGTGTATTAGGATTGGTTTAGATAAAATTTTAGTTGGATATCAAATCTTATTTTTTCAATTCTCATTGGTTAACAACTTTTTAGAATTTTTTTTTTAATTTTCGTCCATAACTAATATGAGAGAGAAAGTGAGTTTATTTTTTTGAAAACTAATAATTACTTTAAAGAATTTTACTATTTTTATTTAAATATATTATTTAAAAACAAAAAACAATGGCATTTTTGTAATACTTTACACTTTATAAGGTTATTTATGTTTGAGTGCTTCCCAATTAATAGTATAGATATTGCAATGGTTCGTCAATTGACAAACCTAATTTTAGTCCACCTAAGTGACACCAATGATACAAGTTTAAACGTTTTCTATTTTCTGCGAGGTTTTGTTTTCCTTTTCTCTGCAATTTTCTATTTCACTGCAGTTTTCTATTTTGCTTGGATTTTTACTTTTATTTGATTTAGGTTTTCCTAATTACATTAGGAAATATATGCTAAGCTTTCTTATAAATAATCCTCTAATGCAAAGAGTCGAGCTGTGCAAAGAAGTGCGTTCTTTACAATTCTCAAACCGCTGTTTCTTCGGTGAAAAGACAAAGTCTCCTCCTTGTTTTCTCTAGCTTCTCTGGAACTTACTTGAGAAACAAGCTTTGTGTCGTGTCTCCGCTTCATCAAAACCTCTGTTTCTTCGGTGAAAAATAGATTCCTGTTCTTGTTGTCTCTAGTTTCTCGGTAAACTTGAGAAACAAGCTCCATTCGTGTACTTCCGCTCCATCATCTCCTTATAGAAATGCCTCGTTACAAAACCACTGCCAGGAAATCATGTGGAAATCTTGATATTCGTCAACTTATTCGCAAAGTACATGTTTCTGAGGAATCTCTAGAGCTAAACCAACCTCTGAAAAGGATAAAGCTAAACGGTGACTGTGGTGTGATAACTTCATCAGTAGATGTCAATGGGTTTCAAGTTCTTCCTTCACAGGTAACAAGTTCATAGAGATTCAATCTTTTAGATAGGAACTGGTTTTGGGAAAACAATTGTATCGTTTAAGTCGATACCATTCAGTTTATACTCTAATTCATCCTTTTTAACAACTACAGGTGGAATCTGTGAAGCGTATATTCGAAAGACATCCAGACATGGCATTAGAGTTCCGAGGAAAGAACCAACAGTTGAGGACATCATGCATAAATGTCCTCCTCAACCTAATCGAGACGTTGTGCCAGTCACTGCAAGACCTTTCCATTGATGACTTGGGCCAAGCAGAGAAAGCGTTAACATACCTGAAAGATTCGGGCTTTAAGGTGGATTGGTTGGAGCCTAAACTGGAGGAGGTAAAGGAAAAGAAGATCGAGGAACTGTTTGATAAGTATCGGATGCAAGAATTAGAGGAAGAACTGAAGGTCTTTAAGAAGAAGTGCTCTGACATAGAAGCTCTACTGGAGAAAGAGAAGCAAAAGTGCTCTGACACAGAAGCTCTGCTGGAGAACGAGAAGACAAAGGTGTTGGCCGCTGCCAGAGCTCTTCCTCTAACGTTGGATGATGTTGTCTGATGACTTGGGTTCTGCTAGGTGTTATGTTCGTTTGAATCTAGGTTTTAAAATCAGAGTCCTAACATAGAGAGTCTTCTGTTTTTTATCTTTTTGTTAAGAGGACTCGCTAGGACTAGGATTTTGTTAGTTGTCTCATTCATGACTATATAATCAGATTATCACCGGCAAAGGTTAAGCTACTATGAGTTGTTTTCAATGTTAAGCAAGTAAAAAGCTTAACTTTGGTCTTAAACCGAGTTTATTTTTATGAGTTTACAGTTCATCAAGCAAAACAACAATGAAACTGCATTTAGGTTGTTTGATCATTTTTTTTTGGTTATTCTCCTCTATAACTCGTAGCATGATGTGATTATAGGGAGAGTAGCTTCCTGCACAACAGTCATTGTCTCGTATCCAACATCCTTGATTACTTTTAGCCATCAACTACGAGAGATAATGGATACCGATCGAATCTGCTAAAAACATTTTACCATATAGAGTAAGTGAGTAACTCTCAGTCAAACTGCACCAAGTGATCTAAGTCACTTACAAAAAAAAAAAGATATTCTGAAATGGTGATGTGCCCTCGAAATATTAGCAACCATTGACCATTGATACAACGAAAACCTGAAATATTAGCAACCGTTAGTGACAGCGAGAATAAATAATTGATATTAGCATAAAGAGAAGATTTAGAGAAAATCCATGGTGCCAATAGAACCTTTGACAAATCTCAAGTTTGTAATGCTGGTGGACATTTAGAGATAACATGAGTTGTTGTTTCTTTTTATAAACCACATCTAGCATACCTTATAACACATTTTAATACCCGGTTTTCGCATATTTATTGCAACCAAAACAAAACCATTAATTAAGGTCTACTAGTCAAAATATAGTAGCTTCGGAGTATTTTTAATTTCCAAGACAATGATAGGAATGGTGGAATATATGATCCGTATTTGACATTCTTTTGGTTATCCGATTCAATATTTTGTACAATGTAATACCCTGTTTTTATCGTATATTTCATGAACGTTTTCTAAAGGTATTGTTCGAATCAACACAACATAAGTCAATTATAGCACGAAAAAAAAAATTTGACGAACGAGTTGATTGCGTCAATTAGATTGAATGTAAGAAAAGAGTAAAATTTAATTATTTTGATTATTTACTTAATATATCTATACATATAGGATTTAATAATTTGATATGATAATATAGTTGATAGAAATAAATAAAATTTTGTTTTTAATTTTTAAATACTATGTGTAGATAAAAGAAAACAATTTAGTGGCTGCTAATTGAAAGTAGTCTGAAACGGTAATGAAGCAAACATCAGCAATCGTAAGTGCACACAAACATTTGTAGGTGGTTTCGGAAAACCTCGTAAATAGCATTTACAAAATTGGGCCAAGCCCATAACCCATAAGTGAAGAAGACCAAGCGACGACACAAGCGTGGTTTAGACACAACAGTGCCAGTGCAACTCAGGTTATATAAGGTTTCGCTGCTTGACTTCACGCTTTGATAGTTTTGGACCTTTTGGTTGCGAGGAGTCATCTCCAATGGGGAATGAGTTTACTTGGATGATTAAGAACTTCTCATCTAATTTGCAATCTGAGTTAATTGATTCTGATGAATTTGTGATTGGTGGCTGCAAATGGTAAAGAAGAAGACAACTTTGTTATATCTCTAATGTTGTTGTTTTTTCGTCTAGTTTAGTTTTACGAGAACATCTCCATTGTTGTTGTTGTTGTTGTTGTTGTTGTTGTTGTTGTTGTTGATTTTGGGACAAGAGATAGTTTTTTTTTTCTGTTTTGAATTAATCAGTAGAACAACACATCTTAATACAGAGAAAATGTAACTTAAAAGTCTACCATTCAGTTTATGGATATGTGTATGCATATGAGTTTATACTTTATTCATCCTTTTATACAACTGCAGGTGGAATCTGTGAAACGTATATTCGAAAGACACCCAGACATGGCATCAGAGTTCCGAGCAAAGAACCAACATTTGAGGACATCATGCATAAATCTCCTCCTCAATATAATCGAGACTTTGTGCCAGTCACTGCAAGACTTTTCCATTGATGACTTAATCCAAGCAAAGAAAGCATTAACGTACCTGAAAGATTCGGGCTTTAAGGTGGATTGGTTGGAGCGTAAACTGGAGGAAGTAAAGACGCAGAGAATCGAAGAGCAGTTATGTAAGACTCGGCTGCAAGAATTAGAGGAAGAACTGAACGTCTCCAAGCAGAAGTGCTCAGACATAGAAGCTTTGCTGGAGAAAGAGAAGACAAAGGTGTTGGCCGCTGCCAGAGCTCCTCCTCTAACGTTGGATGATGTTGTCTGATGACTTAGGTTCTGCTAGGTATTATGTTCGTTTGAGTCTAGGTTTCAGAATTAGAGTCCTAACATAGGATGCTAGAGAGGGAAGCTCCTATATTTTGTAAAGAACTATCTTTTTGTTGAAAGGACTCGGTAGGACTAGGATTTTGTTAGTTGTCTCATTCATGACTATGTTATCAGATTATCATCGGCAAAGGTTATAGTCCTATATTTTGTAAAGAGCTAATCTTTTTGTTAACTATGTAAACGGATTATCGCCGGCCAACATTAAGCTACTAAGTGTACGTTTCAATGTATCAATTATAATCTTAGCTTGTTAAAGCTAATCAAAAGCTTAAGTTTTGGTCTTAAACCAAGTTTATATTTTTGAGGTTACAATTCATCATGGAAAAACAACAATCCCTTCAGCAAAAAGGCTTTTGGAAACTGTTTTTAAGCTGGACTTGTAGAGCCATTTTTAGGTTGTTTGGTTGATCATTTATGGATAAATCTTCTCTTTTGTCTCATATCTCGTAACATAGTGATTATAGGGAGAGTAGCTTTACGAGAGATAATGGTTACTGATCGAATCTGTTAAAACACATTTTACCATATAGAGTAACTCTCAACCAAATATGCAACAAATGGTCAACAAGTCACTTACAAAGTAGACATATTCTACAGTAACCTAATTACAGTCCAGCAAAACTCTTGAGGTTGATGTACTCTTTAATTTATTCAACAGCACACATAATAATGCATGTACATAAGATTGGCAACCAATTCATACATAAATCTCTCACGGTCTACCCATTCCCTCACTGCTCATGCATTTTTCATTTTACTTGTGCCAGAACATTAGAAGCAGAGCGCGTATAAAGTATTTCTAGTTTCTCATACTTTCATATAAGTTTCCTCAGCCCAACAAGTTTCATATTCATAGAGGATAAACATACATTGGTAGATAAACTCCAATTTCTAGCAAGACTCATTGTTCAGAAGAATGTTGAGAAGTATAATCCATAGTGATAATCCTCAAAATTATCAAAAATGTGGTTCTCCTCAATAAAATTTGAAGGCGATGTCAAATATTAAATGCAATTTTTTTTAGTTTTTTTATTTTTTTTATTATTGTTTAATGCAAAACATTTTCGTTCAACTAAGTGGAAGAACTATGTTTTGTTTTTCGTTTGTGTTTTAAAGCCGTTAGCTTTTTGGAAGTATTTTATAGGGAATTTTGCCAAATGTACCATAATTTGGGAAAAGCTTACGAAATCTACCACAATGCAAAACTCCTTAGCTTCCCTACCACTTCTGGTGTTTAAGTGGTGCAACTTGGACGATTTTGCCCTTCTGGCTGCGTCAGTAATGTGTCAGCTGGAGCTACAGTCAGACGCCGGTTGGGAAACGGGGAGCAGTTCGGCTGCATTAAATGAAGGGAAATGATGATTAGCTTTATTTTATGCGATTAAATAATTAAGTTGAAAATTAGCAAGATAATAGCATTTAATGGGGACGTGATGGGGAAGGATGTGGGGGGGAAATAGATCTAGAAATTGGTTGGTGTATGGAGTGTTCTTGAGAGAGTTTCTGGTGGGCGACATTTAAGGCGAAGGAGTGGTGGCGGCTGAGGGATATTTAAGGCGAAGGACTGAAAGTTTACAGAGGTAAGGAATTGCTTCTTGTGTACATAAATGCAAATACAGTGGGAAACCAGAAGGTACAAATAGTCTGTTGTAAATTTAAACTAATGTTGGCCTTTTACGTTTCAGTGGGGACAAGGTTGGGATGGACAAATCTGTGATGATGCTGGTCGGGAAGTGGAAATGTCTAGAGGGTGGTATGTGGCGGTTTCGTATGTCAGATCGGTACTTCGCAAAATGTGTTGATGTAGAAGACGAAGACAAGTTTGCTGAAGTGGAAGATAAAATCGCGAAAGTGTATGGGATAGATAAGAAAAAGACGAAAATGGAACTCAGCTTTTGGTACGAAGGGGGAGACGCGGTGTTCACGCAACAAAAGATGCCGCCTGTTTCTGTGGACAGCGAGAGTTCGTTGACAAAATTCAAAAACATTCGTCTGGAGAAAGGGGGCATGAACATGTACGTAAGTGTTGATCAGGACGAGGACGACTTACCAGATCGGGGAGGACAGAGTGAACTCAGCGCTTTCGATGAGAACATGTTAAGAGCTGTAGCAATCGCGGAGACGGGGCACAGAGGAAGTTTCCAGGCTATGGGGGGACAAGACTTGGGAAGTCACTGTCTTCCATATACGTATGAAGAGGTAGATTTCTTAGCAGAAGTGGATGAGATAGAGCAAGTATACAGGGCTATTAATGTGAAAAGAGGCCGAGGAGCGGATTATTTGGAGGAGGTGGGGGCTAATTCTGGGGAAACGTTGGTGAGTTGTGAGATCTCAGAAGATTATGATTTTGATAAAATGAGAGACAGGATCGACAGAGAGTACCCGGCGGACTGGGATCCTTACAATCCTAAGAGAACCAAGAGTTGGTCCGCTGCTGGCGATGCTGAAGTTAGAGGAGAAGACGAGGACATCTCGGGCGATAACAGGACTACCTCGCAGGGGACGAGTGCAGCAATAGTCGGGGAAAATATCAGGGTGTCCCCGATAGCAAGAATACGTGCATGTGATTATCGGGAAGTTGAGGAGTGGGGACCTGATGATGCTGTAATGTTTAGCTATGAACAGTTGGCGCAGTCGTTACAAAACACCGAAGTAGGAGAAACAAATGGTGCAGAGATGGACAGCGAAGGAGGTCGTGGGACAGGCGCGGAAGATGGACCAGATACTGATGTATTGTTGTCCATTGAATTGGGACAGCGAGTTATGTCCCCGGTTAGGATATATAGTGCATGCGAAACGATAACGCAGCAAAACACAGACGGCGAAAGCGAAAGACAGGTGTCCCCGGGACTGAGGAGAAGTGTTGGGGATGCACCAGATGGTAGTGTTGCAGATGCAGACGATGGTAGTGGATCGTCAAGGAGACCGACGCAAATGAGTGACTATGGAGTAACAAGCCTGGTGTCCCCGATAATAAACTCGACTGAAGGAAGTTTAGCTGATGCAGAAAGGTGTACTAATGAACAGCAACCTAGAAGATGTTGTAGGTTATCACTGCGAGGACGGAATAATGTAGCTGCTGAAGATGTGGGCAATGTGAGGTCTGGGGGACCAGAAGTAGTAGATGAAAGCCACCTGGAAAATCGAAGTATGTCCCCCATTGGCTATAATATAGGTGCAGACAATGGGAACAGCACGGGACCAGAAGAGGGAGCTTTGGCTTTGATGGCCATTGTAAATCAAGTTCCGGAGGACGATCCGATATTTTTAGGTGACCCGACTCCGTTCAAGGACAACGCAGTGGCAGTTACCGGAGACAAGGCAAACATGAATTTAAGGAAGTCGGAAGATTGTATGTATATCGGGAGGGTATTCAAGAACAAGAACGAGCTGCATAAGGCATTGTGTATTTACTCTATAAAAAGGTTGTTCAATTTCAGAATAAGCGCATCGGACAAGACAAGGGTGATAGCTGTTTGCGGGGACAGGAAATGCGGTTGGAGGATATATGCTACTTATCACAAGAACTCGGAGAGTGTGGAAATCCGAACAGCAACTCTTAAACATACGTGTGATGTTGAAGCAAGGTCGCAATACGGCAAGAAGGCAACGGCTAGTATCTTAGGAGAATTACTGAAAGCAAAATATGCTCATGGCAAGAAGGGACCAAGAGCTTGTGAGCTCCCAGAAGTTGTCTTGTCGGAAATAAACGTCAGCATAAGCTACATGAAAGCTTGGTATGCGAGAGAGATTGCTATGAAAAGAGCTCGGGGAACAGAGGAAGAAAGTTATAAGTTCTTGAAGACATACCTACATCTCTTAAAGACAACGAATCCAGGTACGTTGTCTTCGGTGGACACAACATATTCTGACAAGGGGACAGTATTGTTCAAATATCTATTCTTTGCTTTCGGAGCTTCAATTGCGGGGTATAAATACTTAAGGAAGGTGATAGTAATAGATGGGACCCAGACGAAAGGAAAATACAAGAGTTGCCTAGTTGCTGCTAGTGGACAAGATGGAAATTATCAGATTTTTCCCTTGGCGTTTGGTGTGATCGATGGAGAAAATGCTAGTGGGTGGACATGGTTTTTTAAACAACTTAGGCAGTTTGTCCCCGATGAAGAGGATCTTGTCTTCGTCTCTGATAGGCATCAGTCCATATATGCTGGGCTTAGGAGCGTGTACCCCCTTGCGAAACATGCTGCGTGTACGGTTCATTTGTTCAGGAACGTGAAACACAATTTTAAGTGTGCGGGTCTTGCAAGCATGGTCTCAAATGCAGCCAGAGCATACACTGTCGGTGATTTGCGCTATTGGTTTGAAGCAATTCAGAAAAGGAACATGGAATGTGCCAATTATCTGATTGAAATAGGTATATCACATTGGACACTTGCGTATTTTCCGGGGATGCGGTACAACTTGATGAGCAGTAATATCTCCGAGTCCTTAAATGCTGCGTTGCAAAAGGCCATCGATTTCCCCATAGTTACCTTGGTGGAATCAATAAGGACAATGCTGATGAGATGGTTTTGCGAAAGACGAGAGAAGGCGAAAAAGGCATTGACACGGTGTACACCGGAGATAGAACAACTGCTAATAGATCACCTAAAAGAAGCTACCGACTGTGTTGTGATTGCTTCAACTGAATGGATTTATCAAGTAAACGACGGGTATGGGACCGTGTTTACAGTTGATCTACGTAAGAAGACATGTACATGCCGAGTTTTTGATGTCCTTATGGTACCATGTTGCCATGCTTTAGCCGCCGTAGGTATAAGAAACCTCGACATCTACTCTTTGATAGGAAAATATGCATTTGTGAGTGAATGGCGTAAATTATGGACAGAGCATATTCTACCTCCACCTAAAGAAAGGGACACGGAGGTGCCAGTAGATATAAGTCAGGTGGACGTGAATGCCCCGAAGACAAAAAGGCCATCGGGAAGGCCAAGGACAGTCCGCATTCCATCCCAGGGAGAACATCATGTAAGAATAAAAAGTGTACTTTCAAAATATAGTCTCCAATTATTGGTCCTAACAATGTTACCATTGCTTTTTGTAGGGTAAGGGAGGGAGGAAGAAAAAAGAAAAGAATTGCACCACGTGTGGGAAGAATGGGCACAACCGAGCTACATGCAAAAATCCAATATAAAATGGATTGGAGGAGGCGGTTTTGTTTTTGCTTTTGGGGAAGACAGGAGTAGGCGGGTTTTTTTGGGTTCCCATTATTATAAGTAACGGCGTAGGAATTGCGGCTATGGTCCACAGAGACAACATGGAGTGCGGAGGTTTTTTGGTGTTATTGGACACATCATGGTTGAAGGTGGTTGGTTTTTTGAGGGACAAAACAACATGGTTGGAGTTTTTGTTGGTTTTGAAGAAAAATCCATGGTGTGAGTGTGTTGAAGATTAACGAAGGGGGACGAGATATGTTTGGGCACGGGAAGTTGTTTAGTTTGGTTCGCATTCTATAACTAGAAAATGTGGTTGGTTTTTGTTTTTGGATTAGGGGATGTACTTGTGGGAATATTGATGTAATATAATGAAACATTCCAAAAATAATATAGTACAATAGTATCGGTAAAACTAATGATGATTTTAGCGAATCATGCTCCTACTTCATACAAATACTGATTTCTATGTAATGTTGTCCTCAGCTAATAAGTGATTATGTCCACTGATGCATTCTGTTGTGTTTTGTCCACCGCGGAATTTAGGATAGCCAATTTCTACAGACAAGGCAACTTATAAATACCCAAAAACAACAGTATCAGCCAGCTACTCTCCAGCTACATATGAAGTATGAACCAATCTCGGCCCAGATTTCTATGCCGACAAGCTAAAGTTATATTGTCGACGTTGCTTGTTTATGTCCTCAAGATAGCTTTCTCGTCCTCGTGATCATTGTCCCCGGAACCGCTTACATGCTTGGCACTTATATGTAGCCCCCAACTATGCTTTTATTGACCCCAACTATGCTTTGATTTTCCTGCCGATTAATGTCCCTTGTATTCCTATCTATATATAGTTCTTCTGGTTTTTGTGCCAAACCATACTTCCAATATCTTGATATGTTTTTGTGGCAACAGCTTCCCAAACATCTTAGGGTTTCGATTGTCCTTCTTGTTGGTAAGTCATGTTACCGACACTTAGGACCCCTAATCCTCTCTGGGAACGCTGGCCTGGGTCTCGCACTTGATCCTTCTGTTTTGAGGGAGACTTCTCTGGCTCTCCTTGAAGCGCATCCTCAAAATATTTCCATCGGTTCACCCATTCACTTGTTTGTTTTACGATGTGTGAAGGCTCGGAATCCAGTTGCTTGTTACTTAGAGAGCATTAGGCTAGCTGCAGTCGAAGGGTTAATCAAAGAAGCAATGGACATGTTGGCTGATATACCCGATCCATCCCCCAAAATTCTATTCACCAAAGGTCTCTACCTTGTCTCTGTTAATAGACCTCTGGATGCGATGACCGCCATGAATCAATTCAAACACGAAGTTGTCTCTTCCCGCAACGCCAATCGTGTGGCAACGCTTGTGATGTCCGACATTAAGAAGATCGCCCCAGACCAACTTAGGTTCAACTGGACTGGCTATACGTGCTACTTGATCCATCCCCCTCGTCGTTATTCAGAATGTTCCAAATGCAATTTGTGGAACCCCTGCCCTCTCTGTGTTAATTGGTGGGTCTTATGATTATTTATTTGTGTCTTTGTAATGTCTCACATCGCTTTTTGTCTTCGCATCGCTTGTGTCTCCCATCGCTTGTGTCTTTATAATTTCTCTTTATTTGTGTCTATATAATGTCTCCGATGGACAATATCAAATACCAGAGTTACATGTGCAGGACATAAGCAAATCTAAAAATAGTCTTTGGAATTTAGGTAGATTGCTGAGTTCATAAGCAAATCTAAAAATATTACATAACTAGTAGATCCGAGTACAACAACAAAAAATACAAAATAAAAGCCGATAGACCTTGATAGACAATAAGAAAGTTGACATTTTGGGGACAGTAAAGCCGATAGATAAAAAAAGAGCTATTAAAGCTCTGACCGCTATATATAAGTTCCAAGCAAGAAAGCGGCTATGGGGACAATAATCGCGAGGACGACATAGAGGTTGTGAGGACATGAACGAACGACGTCGACAATGTTACGAGGGGCGCGTTGTAGAGCACGAACATTATACTCAAGACCATTAATGGTTTGCTGGAAAAGCTCGAAACGATCCCACATCGATGGAGGGTCAATGCGGTCACCATTAGGGGCGGTAGTTAAGTACTTGAGGTGTTCATCCTGTTCCCTGATTGAGCTTCTTATAGCAGAAATCTCGTCCATCAAAGCTTCGTCCAACCATTTGAAAATATGGCGGCCTGGGCCCTGTGACCGAAGACGAGGACGAGTGATGAAATAATAGTAGATTGGATAGAACAAAAAGATACAGAAGCTTTAATTAAACTTACATGTCTCATCACGCACTGATAGAACCGCCTACCGGGATCAGCTTCAGTGATGGAATTCGCAAGATGGACAGGCCCTCCACAGAAACACATTTTAGGAATACCAAGGCTGGCGGGATTGTTGGAAATGGACAAGGGCGGAGGCGAGGAGGCGTAAACAGGACCATAAGAACCAAGAGAATCTCGGGAAGAAGACGATGGCTGGCTATAACTATGGAGGCCCATTGGTCTGCGGAAACAACAAGATGCGAGAAAGAATGGTATAGTTTGGGAGGACCAGTTGAAAAGAAGATAAGAAATGAAGTAGCTGAAAATAACATTAAGGTGGAGAGATAAATAGAGATGGTTGGATTTCCCCCAAAAACTTTCCCTCCAAAAACGCGTTAAATTTAATTAAAATGAAAAAAACTTTTACTTTAACTTATGTGAAGCTATGGGGAAGCGTAAGAGATTAGAGAATAAAACAGTGGGCAGAAGGTGATGGGATGTGTCAATAGAAGAAAATAAATGGAAAGCAGCTGGCAATGTCAACTAGAAACATAAATAACCGTGTATTTTGTTTATCAACGTTTGGTTTTCGATAACATTGATATTCAACGTTTGGTTTAAGATAATTCACATAGTGAAAGAAAGTTACAAATCGGGGACAGGATTGTAGTTCAAATAAATAAAACCTGAAAACTAGTTATAAGGGACTGGTTATGTTTGCTTAGGTTCAATCCAACAAAGAAAAGAAAGAGACAGACAGAATATTACAAAACAAGAAATAAGTTTGTTGTAGAGTCAAGTACTAAATAGATTAAACACGAAGAGCCTGGATGAACTCTTCATAGATGTCGACAGCGAATCTCAGCCGCATATTCGCCACCATTTCCTCTGTAATGACATCATGGCTGATTGCTTGAAGATGGAGCTCAATAAACTTAACAGAAAGAGGGCCGCTGTCCCCGACATCCTCGCTTTGGAATATTTCAGGCATTCTCTCAACTACGAATTCCTTGGGCACTGGGGTCTGGATGATATTCTGGGGGACAAGATCCTTGATTAGAGACGGGAGAATCACAGACAGAGGTTTTATCATGTTGTCCATCTGTTTGGCCTCTGATGTGCCGCCCACATTGGAGTCGAGGATAGCGATTGAATACTCTTTCAGGTCAATGACAAGCGAGACCCAGTGACCATCGGCCAGATGGAAAGGGGCATACAGAGTATCGACATCTGTCAACCAAGCCTGCCTGGTGTAGCGCCCGGGGACAATACCCCTGACAACATAGTCCTTAAACTTACTGCTCCACACCCAGTCCGATTTGTTTTTTGACTTCTTGAAACGAGCAAACATCTCGCAAACGTTCACAGAAAACCATGTATCCAATAGAGCAGCCCTACTCTCGACAAAAGAATCCCCCAACTTCCGCCATAGGAGACTAAGCATGGCATCAACGTGCTGGAATGTATATGAAGTGAGTAACATAAAAAACACAAAGGGATAAATAAGATAAAGGAACTGCACTAACCTCCTGGTGGACAGGTTGGTGAGAAGTGTGCAGATCTCTAAAAAAGGAACGGGGGACAAGATGGCCATCGAGTAAGTACTCCCTGTAAAAAGTGAAATAAATGTAAAGATCATCACACTAAGCTAATAATTAAGACTAAGCATAGTAGGGATTCTTAAAAATTATGGAAAAAATACTCACTTCTGACGATAAGCTTTGAGTGAGGACATGAACTTTTTCCGCAAATCATCATTTACTTTGACGAATGGGTAGAGGACCTCTGAAGGCAGTTGAACAAAACTACTTGTCCCCTGAACTTCTTTGATTGGAGGAGTGTCAAGGAAACGCTGGGGTTTTTTCCTTTGCCTTTTCGAAGGGAGCACATGATGTGAAGAATCCCCTGTCTCAACTTCACTGGTACATTTTCTTTTCTTTCCGGGAGAATCTTCAACAACAGGACTAGTCCCTACACTAGTCCCTACTCCTTTGATAGATGCATCCTAGAAGGAGACAATATAAAGATATTGCATTGATAGTCACTTATATGAAATCTATGATAACTCTTGTTATTTAATAAAATGAATACGTGCATGTGACTATAAAAATATTACCTCATCGCCAGAATCGTGATCATCTTCAGGTTCAACATTTTGGTCCTCGTCAACTTGATCGTCTTCTACAGCCATGTCCTCAGGACTGCCACCACCACTAGCAGTATCGCTGTCCTCGTCCTCGCCTTCAGAGTTGCCACCATCATTGTTGTTGTCTTCGTCCTCACTATTGGCATTGGGTTCTAGAGCTTCAGTCAACTTTGTTCCCTCAGCGTCGTCCTCATCAAGCCTCTGATTTAAATCTTCTTCCTCCAGGGCAGCATCAACTTTTTCTTCGCCACCATAACCTTTTTCTACAATGGGGACCTATAGAAACCAATATATTGTAAAAAAAACAGAGGAAATTTGTCTCGTCAATAACTAGGGAAGGAAGGTAAATTGAAACCTGAACAGTCTCGTCTCCCTCTGGAACAGTCTCGTCTCCTTCTGCTGGTTCATCGTCAAACGCTTCCAGGGGAGTAGAAAAAAGGTTTGGCTGTGATAGAGAATAGACAAAGTAATTAGAAACTTAAGTCTTCAATAGTAAATTATGATATATAAACCAATAAATCGAAAAACTTACATTGTGATCTTGATGCAAATTAGAGGAGGAGGGGTTTAGACTATTTAGCACATCAGTTACTCCTCCGTAAGGGATCCACGCTGTCCTTTCCAACTCATCTAAAAGTTGGCTGTGGTCCTTCCCCTTCATCTCGTTACTTACAAAAGCAGAGGAGGATGGATGGTTAGGGACAGGGGATGCATTCTTGTCCTTGGCACTGTTTTTTCCGTTGTTGTCCTTGACCTTAGAACTTCCTGGAGAGGGTGGGTTAGGCTGATTGTTGTCCCAATCATCCGAAAGAGGAGAATTCTCGCCTCCTCTGGGACTTTTCGTAGGAGGAGACTTCTCGGCTCCTCTTGGACTATTCGTAGCAGGAGTTTTCTCTGTCCCTTTGGGACTCTTCGTAGCAGGAGGAGTTGTATCTGTCCCTTTTGGACTCTTCGAAGCAGGAGTTGTATCTGTCCCTTTGGGACTCTTCGTAGCAGCAGTTGTATTTGTCCCTTTGGGACTGCCAGGATACTTTCCGCCATACCGCAGGTTGCTTATGATCTCATCTAAAAGTTCATCTTTCATCAGCTTCTTATCAATATCAACCACCCTTCTGATTTCATCGTAAAATTCAATCTTCAATTCCGTCCTAACGTCACGGATTCTTTGTTCAACTTGTTCGATGATAAGCGCGTGAAGGATATTCTGTCCCTGTCCCCCATGATCATCACCTGAAGGATGAGACTCTTCATCAACTTTCTCTTTTCCTCGGGAGGACCCAGGGATATCAGTTGTTTTGGGTGGGCGCTTGGCAGGCGCCTTTCTTGGCCTCGAAACCTTTTCTTCGTGGCCCTTCTCATCTACCATAATTTGAGGCCATTTAGAATAACCACCACTCCATACATCCTTCGTGAAATTAAAACGACTCCCTATAAGCCTTTCCATATAATCCAGGGCTGGGTCAGCAACTTCGTCAACCCAATCGAAATTTCGTCCATCACCATCCCACTGCAACAGTGGTGCAATATCCAACTGCAAATAGGGACGAAAACAGTTATATGGATTAACAAAAAAGGACAACAAAGTCTAATCAATACCATTAGTTCAACAGATGGAAACTTACACCAGCGATTTGCTCAGTTTCCATGATGTTGGAGTTGTGGAAAGTTTTCAACGGTGCTAACTGGAGGACAGACCGGTCAGCGAAGGTCTGTTCATCATCATCATCTGGAAGATATTTTTCCAGGGCTGGGATGGCCTTGAACATGAGTAATTGGAAGGCAATAGTGAACCCGTGGGTTGAGGAATGAGACTGATTGAACTTAGAAATGAGATCACTCCGACTTTTGACTTTGTTACTAACTTTAACCATACGCATGGTGAGGAGGAATGACTCACGGCCCCAAGGAAACAGTTCAAAAGTCTCCAAATGCCTGACCATTTCGACAACTTGCTCGGAAGCTTTTACGGGTTGGGAACTGCAGATAATGATACCATCAACAATGACGATGAGGGCAAGACGCAGCCTTCTCCACTCTTCCATTCTCTTTGTAGGTGGAAGATTCTTATCCGCCCTCAACCACTCAACAATATCTTTGATAAGGACAGCAGGTCTGTCTTTACCAAAGAGGGTATCCCAGTAAGTCTTC